AGGACTAGTTATCATTAACTTCAGTGTGCAGTAGATGTTTTAACTATGCTGCATAGTTGAGAGTTGATGTCTTAAAAAAAAAAAAAAATATATATATATATATATATATATATATATATATATGCATGTATATCAAAAGGGGTAGTTAAGAGACCAATTGTATGGTACCTGATGAACCTTGCGTATGACTTGTAAAAGCATCAGGACAGTTAACAAATGATTCATTAAGATCATATCAAGAAACCACAAGCCCTCTTTTTAAATTCCAAGAAGCTTTAAATATCAGCAATCCACATCTCCTCTCCCAGCAGAAAAGGGCCTTCTCCCCCTGCTGTTTGCCTCATTTTGAGCCCAGGTTCCCTAGGCTGTGGCCCACAACTCAGAGTTGCTGGGTCAGTGATTAGGAGGGAGGATTTCCGGTCCCTTGTTTCTCTGTGATACGTTCCTCTCCATTTCATGGGAACTTGGGCTCTTTACTCCTTTTTACATTTGTTCATTCAGTTGTTTGAAAAAGCCTGTGGAGTTTGGACCCCTGGACAAAAATCCTGCCCACTCCACCCCCCTCCCACACACAGGAGGATGACAGTTACCTCTTTTACTGTTATATGGGTCCCCACCTCCCACACAGGGGTCCCTCTTCCCATATCCCCCCATGGGACCCCTCCTTCCACATGCCACACAAGGTCCCTTCCTCCACACACGTGGTTAACTCCTAGAAGGTGCAGACTGTGTTTCAGAAGGACCCATTTCAGCACACAGCAGGCAGCAGGTTCACATTGACTGGGCTGAGTTTGGAGGTTGGTGCTGAGGATTTTAAACATTCTCCTTTCCCATCTATAAGATGAGGTCACCATCTCTCCCTTGTTTAAAATGTGATCAGGTATGCGACAACACTCCAGAAAGACGAGTGCTGCATAAGCCTGTTAGTGTCCTCCATCCACCTTGGCTTCCTGCCTTGTATCACCGTATTTCCATCTCCTCCATTCCTTCAAAACCTCTTTACTCCTTATTCCTGTCCTGACTCCCTGCTTCCCTCCCTTCTGCCCTCAGATGGGAAGGAAAGCATGAGTGAAAAAAAAAATCTATCTGGTTCTCTGTCCTTGTTTCCTGTCAGTGTGTGTTTATGCTGCTCTTGCCCTGTGCACATGTCTCCCAGTGTAGCTGCATCTGTGTGGCAGTCAGGAGATGCTGCCTACCCTTCACAGGAGCACCCATCTGTGTGTGTGGACCCCTCCATTTGCTACCGCTGCCTCTGTATTGTGTGTTCTTCCCAAGTCTAAGCATGACATAAAGTGTTTGTTCTCTTAGATTAAACCCAGTACCCAAGCACTTTCTACACTGTGTGGGTACCAGTATAAAACAGAGGAATTTTCACACCAACGTAATCTGCCTGTTCTGTTGACACCTGGTTGACAGTTCTGTAGAATTAGTACAGAGGTGAAGTTTTAGGTGAACCACAACGATGTAGCTTGGCTTTTGTGAAGGTGAGAGATGAAATGAGTCCTCAACAACAGTTAAGAACTGAGCCTCATTGCTTATGTTAACATCTCTTTGTATTTCTTTGCCCTTTCATCATATGGAAAAAAAAAATGGCAGGAGAGAGAACTTGGGTGAATGGCAGGGAAAACTTTCTAGTGACATCTTAGCAGGGTCTGTCCCCCTCTTTTGAAGGGACCTTGTATAGAGTAATCACAGGCATCCCCTGAAAAGCATTAGCATTAACCTTTACTAGACTAAGATTTTGTTTCTTAGCCACACTCAGATCACAGACTCTTCCACAGGTTGGAAAGTTCTCCATGAGTACAAACTAATAAAAACATTTACTGAGTTTTTTTTTCATTGTGATGGAAACACAATGGGGAGCTGTTCTCTGAAAAAGAGCCCAGAGTCCTCAGGAGCTGTGCGGTGATGGAGGGTTCTGCCCTTGGTCGGATTCAGGGAGCAGCTCTGCCCCATAGTGGAAGGCTGGAACTTCTGTTTATTGCCCACCCCACAACCTGGAGCACATTAGAGCCTTTGGAAACCAATTGTGTATTCAGAACCATCACTGTGTCACAAAATAAGGGACAGGAAATTCATCTATAAGGTAATAGAATCACAGAGGAGACCCTGTTAGATTTGTTGATAAACTGTCAAGAGGAAGAGTAAAAACTGTGGCCTAGCAGGAGTCTCCTCCCCAGACTAGGAGTCAGATGGAGGGGCAGACGGGAACCTGCCTGCATTCATTCAAACAGCATTCACTGAGTGCCTGGTGACCCAGCAAAAAGACATTACCTTCTCATGTGTTCCTCATGCCCTGGGACAGGAGTTGAACAGATATAAAGAGAATAACAGATGGTGGTGGAGAGGTGTACACAGGAGTCCAGGGAAGCCCAAAGGAGGGCAAGGCCAAATCCAACTAAACCCAACCGGGCATAAGAAGGTCAGGTGGAGGACTGTGTTTTCAGGGAGGCAAGCCCTGGTTGAGTTCTATATAAAGGAAGGGGGCCTCCAGTGGGTGGGCGGAGAACAGAAGATGCAGAGGAATTCCTGCAGGGCTCCTTAGAAGGATTGGCTTCAGGCCAAGTAAGGTGCACACCAGTCATCCTAGTGTCCTGAGAAGCTGAGGCAGAAAGATCACAAGTTTGAGGCCAGCCTCAGCAACTTAAGGAGACCCTGTCTCAAAATAGAAAGGGCTGGGACTGAAGCTTAGTGGTAAAGTTCCCCTGAATATTTTGTCCGTAGTACTGGGGAAGGAGTCAGTTCAGCAGGTCTTCACAGAAAGGAGGAATCTCATTTGGGGAGTCTCCTAGCAGAGCAGACCCAAGGGTCTGTATCTGATTCTGTAAATAAAGTTATATTAGATTGTGGCCCCACCCATTCTTTTGTGAGACTGTGTGGCACATTGCCTATATACTTACTACCTGGTGTGTTTTAGAAAAAGTTTAGTGACCTTGGCCATAACATATTTTTGAAACTCTGAATAAGATTACCCATAGTCCAACACCAGGGCTCTACTTCCTGGACTATCTAATGAATTTGCTTCACCCCACCCTACCTGCCACTCAAGTCAGGAGCCTCTGGTCTCTAAACACTCTGGAAGTAGAATAGTGTCTGTAGTGGAGGTAGGGGGCTGGGCATTTCACTCTATATTCTTCCCTAAAACATTTGATCACCCCATCCTGCAACTGTTGGAGACTCCTAATTTCTCAGGACCTCTGCTACTGTTTAGCGGCTTGGTAAGTGTTGCCCAGCAAAACCAGGATTTGCAACACTGATAGGAGTCACAGTCATTGGGAAGTACTCTGTATTCTTTGATGCAGCAGCCCATGCTTTAGTGACTTTTGTGCCCTAGCAAGTGGGAGAGGGAAGCTGCAGGCAGAGCTGCCACCTAAAGCATGAAGAAACACAAAGAATGCATTTCTAAAAGTGGCTGAGCCAGGGTGAACTCTTGACTAGTAAGAGCTAGAAGAAATAGAGCAACAGCCATTCCCATTTTATAGATAACAAAACAGAGGCCCCGACAATCTAGGTAACTTCATTTTGACTGCCAGCAGATGCTGCCTCTGATGCCTGATAAGGAGGGTGTTTCTTCCTGTGGAGATGTCCCAGTGAAATGCTGGATCAAGAAGTCATGAATTTCTGTTGCAGACTTTCGAAAGATGTGGCTTTTGAGGATTAGATACAGCTAAGATCCTCTGTAGGGCTAACTTCTTTTAGTCCCAATAACCACCAAGGTATTACTTATCAAATAATGTTGCAATTTGGGATCTGATTTCTGACTAGTCCTTTATTTAGAAAACCACTGGTAGTAAATAAGGGTGACATTTTCCAAACCTTCCTGGAAAATACAGATACAAAATGAGAATGAAGCAGATAGAGTTGTCCAGATTTCCAACCAGCATGATCATTGCTATAGAAAAATCTGTTTATAACTATCCACTTCTTAAAACCTTTCACTATTTATTGCTCTGCCGTTCTTTGAGGAAAAGACCAAAGTCCTTGTCGTGGCATTTGAGGTCTTTCCTGTGTGGGCGCTGCCTGTCTCATCTGTCTCACCTCTCAGTACCTCACACATTTTCCTTCCAGCCTAAGTGGGTTTCTGCATTTGGACCCACCTCAGGACTTTGAAAGACATCTTTAAATTGTCTGGCTCATTCCCACATTGTCCTCCCATCTCAGCTAAGTTAGTGTTGGATCTGGGAGGCCTCCTCTGAGCTTTGGAGATTGAGTTGGGTCTCCTCCCTTGCCCAGTCCTGAATCATGTCAGCTATACCATTCAGTTGCTTGTTCACTGTTCCTCCTTAGACTGTAAGCTTCTTGTAAGAATGCCACTCTTTTTTTTAGTTTTGATTCTATAGTTACCAGGAAGAGGAATCCACTTGTACTAGTTACTATAAATGGGATTTGTGGTGAGAAAATATATAAAGCAATAAAGAAATCCTGGCGGAAATCTAATATCTGTAAGGAGCTGTCCCTATTGGAACCACAGTGGGAATTCCTCAAGATGGCACAGGTGTTTTGTGCCTCTCTGCTCCTCTGCACCCAAGTTCTATTTGCCCTTCTTTCTCCTGTTGGTTTCTTGAGCTCATACACATGACTGCATGAAGTTTCTGCATGATCTCACTTTGCCCGTGTGGCCTTGGATGCCCCCCCCCCCCCCAGCCCTGGCAGGCACTCTTAATCTCATGGCTTTGTTTCCTGCTCCCCATTCATTTGGTTCTCTGTTTCTCACTTGCAAATTTCTAAGCAAGCACACTGGTCAGCCTACTCACCGTTTTGAGCCAAGGCACACCAATCAGAAGTCATCATCTTGTAGATGGGGTCTCCTGGAGTCAGGTCCTCACCACAGACCAATCAAACATGTTTGGAGCTGGTGAGGTTCTATGGGTCAGAACCTGGCTGCCATGATGGGCATCTCTTATTTTGGTTTCTCTTCCTGTCTGTCTGCTGACAAGGATGTTAGGCATGTATATTTTATGGACTTGATGGTATCCTTTGTTGTTTTCCATTTTTTTTAGATATCATTAATGGAGCTCAAGAAAAATGTGTATTGCCTCCTATGGATGGCTACCCCCACTGCGAGGGGAAGATCAAGGTAAGGCTAAAGCATCACCTGCTCATTTCCATCATCCTCAATCTCCTCCCCCCACCCCCACCCAGATACAAATGTGTGAGTGAGCCCTGGAAGTGAGTTATTTAAGGGGTGCCTCCATCCTTCAGTGTTGCATTGTGGCCATCATGACCCTTCTCTGCTTATGCCAACCTAATGGAGTTAGTCAACATTGACCCTCCATGGTCACACTGGAAGAGCCTGGGCTGCTTTGGGTGCCTGCCATAACGCTGCTTTCTTTCCCAGCCTCTAGTGGGTGGGTGCTCCTGTGAGGGTTACTTAGTGTCCACCTGCCCCCTACCCCCACCCCCCTGCTGCCTTAGTCCCAGGCTCCTGATCATTTAATCCAGGCTGCAGTTTTGGTGCCACATTTGCATTTGTGGTGAGTACCCAGAGATACTTGGCCACTCTTTCAGAGTTATCATTTTTTATTTTTTGGTGCTGGGGATCAACCCATGCCTCATGTATGCTAAGCACATTCTCTAACACCAACCTGCAGCCCCAGCCCAATGTTACATTTTTTAAAAAATCCATAGCAACAGTGAAGAGATTAGTGGTTGCCAGGGGGTTGGGGGGTGGGAGTCATGAGGTAAAGCAGAAGGGATTATTTAGGCAATGAACTATCCCGTTGATAATTTCACGGTGGATGCATGCTATAATACATTTATCTAAAGCTATGGAATGTACAACACCAAAGGTGAAGCCTAATGTGGATGGTGGTCTTGAGTTGATATTGATGTGTTCGTGTAGGTCACTGATTATAGCAAATGTAACACTCTGATGTAGGATATTGATGGGAGTGGTGTGTTGGGGAGAAGGGTGCATAGAAGCTCTGTACCATCCACTCACTTTTGCTGTGAACCTAAAACTGCTCTAAAACATAAAGTCTGTAGTTAAAAAGAAAATTGTATAGCCTGCCCAGTAGCTTTCAGGGAGAAGTTTCAGTTTAGGTCTGCAGTTATGACTGTGAGACCAACCTGTCAAGCACTTGCTGGTCTCCTTTGGAGCAGGTGCTTTCCCGATGCCCAAATTGCACTCAGGCCCACCTGCACACACTCTGTGTTTCAGGCACTGGTGAAACCCTAGTTTCCAGAAGATGTGCACTTGGCCTTGATAAAACTCTGCTAGGCATGGCCTCTCCTGGCCTCACTCTACACTAATTACCCCAGCTGTGGCCTAGCTGAAGCCAGTGTCTTCCTGTGGGTGCTCCAGGTGTTGAACATCTGGTCATCTTGGCTCAGCAACCCCCTTGCTCTGTTGTTAAGCTATGGTTTGAACCATTCACCCTGTTATCACCCTTTATACCCCCTCCTTCTCTCAGCAGATGGGTAGGAGCCCAAGGAATGGAGAGCTGAAAGGTGTTCATGTGTGTTCTTGTCATTTCAGTGGATGAAAGATATGTGGCGCTCGGATCCCTGCTACGCAGACTATGGAGTGGATGGGTCCACCTGCTCTTTTTTTATTTACCTCAGTGAGGTAAGTAACTAGCTTCCTGTAGCTCCTGGAGGTGCATGTGTGTGGTTAAACTGTTTTGTGGCTGAGCCTGGAATTTGAAAAGTTTCAAGATGCATGGTGTTGTTTTTATATGGAGGACCTATGGTCTCTTTGTCATTATTCTCCCCACCTCTCAAAGATTTTTTTTTTTCCTTAGTAGAAAAACAGGCTTGAGTTAGCTGTTCACTTTTTTCCTTCAATTTTTCCTATGATTTACCATCTGAACAATGTTTAAGACCAATTCAGTGGCATTGAGTACTTTTACACTGTTGTGCAAACATCAACACCACCCATCTCCAGAATCATTTTCATCTTGCACAACTGAAACTCTGTACCTAGTTAGCACTAATTCCACACCTCTGTCCCCTAGCGCCTAGCAGCCATCATTCTACTTTCTGTCTCTTTGAACTTGACTATTCTAGTTACCCTCTAAAAACAAAATCGTATAATTTGGCATTTTGCATCTGGCTCACTTCACTAATCTTCAAGTTGTAGTATGTGTTAGAGTTTCTTTCCATTATATACTGTGTGTATATACTACCATTTGCTTATTTATTCACCTATCATTGAACGCTTGGGTTGCTTCTCCCTTTGGCTTTTGTGAATAATGCTGCTTTGAGCCTGGGTGTATAATTTTCTCTTGAATACCTGGCTTTCAGTTCTTTGGAAAGTATATACCCAGAAGTGGAATTACAGGATCATTCAATAATTTTATTTTTTCATTTCTTGAGGACCTCTGTACTGTTTTCTGTTGACAGTTATACCATTTTACATTGCCACCAAGAACAAGGGTTCCAGATTCTCCACATCTTCACCAATACTTGGTACCTTCTGTGTTTTTGATAGCAGCCGTCTTTATGGATGTGAGGGGTAACTCATTGTGGTTTTGGTTTGCATTTCCTTTTTTTTAGTGATACCGAGCTTCTTGTCATGTGGCCAGAGTTAGCCCTTTTCTTAAAGGTTGAATTAGTTACTTTTGCCTTCTCTTACTTCTATTATTGCACCCTTGAATTTAAATAGCAGCTTTTTGTTTTTTTGTTTTAAATAAGGATTGCAGAGCATTTTCCAGACCACACAGGTTTTGCTGTAGGCTTCAGTGATCTTCATTTCACCTTGAGGAAAGTCAAGGAGTGGAGAGGTGTTAAGGTCTATCCAGAAGGAGCTGAAGGGGAAGAACCTCTAGGGAACCAAACCCTGCTCTTTCTCCTTCTCCCACTGATGGCCAGGCCAGCCCTCAGGGCTGATGAAACAGGTGCAGACCAGTTTCAGAGGATACAGCTCAGTGGGCTTTCTGCTGCCATTTCTTTTTCGTCCTATCCTATTTGTGTGTGCTGTTGATATTGCCATTTAGCCAACATCAACAGCTCCCTGGTGCTCCATGGAAAATGACTCCAGTTTTGAAGCTAAATTAAATGTGTTTGCCATAGTTTTTCGTGGTGATGTTACAGGGCAAGTTCCCACTGTAGAGCTGAGGCCACTAGAGTGGTCCTTTCTTGCTGGCTCTTTCAATCACATCAGAAAGATTTCAGAGATGTCTCTCGAGAGTACTAGGCATACTTTCATTGAAGGGATAGGAAAAGGGGACACTCTCAAGCAGAGAGTGTGTCCTCTCAGAGAGGAGACAAACAAAATGCCCCTCCTTCCCTCTAGTTTCATTGAGGGTCCAAGGAGAGTTTCCAGAGAGTCCCACCCTTGTCTATCCTCTTGACTTTTGACTGACAACAGAATCATATCAGTCTTCTAAGTCCTCACTGTGCATGGTAAAGGTCCAGGGCAATGTTCGGTCATTTAGGCCCATGCTGGTCACAGTTCTAATTGGGTCCTCTAGATATATCTCCCTGACTTCTTTTCTTTTAATATTTATTTTTTAGTTGTAGTTGGACACAATATCTTTATTTATTTATTTTTATGTGGTGCTGAGGATTGAACCCAGGGCCTCACTCGTGCTAGGTGAGTGCTCTACCTCTGAGCCACAACCCCAGGCCTCTCCCTGACTTCTGAAACCTGGTCTGTGAAAGGGTCACAAAAGTCCCCCCTTCAGAGTAACTTCTGTTCTTCTTATGGGCATTTTGGGTCCACATTTCTCCTGCATATGAAGGTCAGCTTGGTAGGACCAGCTTATAGAATGACTCCTTAACCTCATATTCCCACCACTTGGGTCTGTTAGTGGGATTCAGGTGCCTCTCTTTTCTGTTTCATAAGGTGACAGGGGCAGTCCTCTTTTGATTACAGAAGTCAGATCATTACTGGTAACTAGCATGCTAGCATGTATCCCTGCATTCTATGGAGTTTGTCTCTCTTTTTAGATCATTCCCTCTTTCTTTAGTACATTCAAATCAGACTTTTTTTTTTTTTTTTTTTTTTTTTTTTTGGGGGTTTGCGGCGGGGTTTCCCCTAGGCTTTTCCTATGATCTATCCTTCCACTCCCCCACACTTCCTTTTTTTTTTTTTTTTTTTTTTTTTGACAAGTTGTTCAATGGTCACTCTGTGGCCATCATGAGAACCTCAGAATAAATGAGTTTAAAACCTCTTGGAAATTAAAACTTCAAACTTCAAGAGTTGGGCTTGTGGTGTGTCTCATTAGCAGGCTGCTAGCAAATACATTTTTATTTTTATGTTTTTATTTTACTGGGGACTGAACCTCTACCACTGAGCTACATCCCCAGGCCCACATCTACCCCTTTTTTCATTGTCGAGACAGGGTGTTGCTAAGTTGCTGAAGCTGGCCTGGAACTTGCAATCCCCCTGCCTCAGCCTCCTGAGTTGCTGGGATTATAGGCATATGCCAGGGGCCGGACTACTGGTTATCTCTGTGTGTTTCTTATTTGTGACTTGGGTGGCCTGTGGCCTAGGTTCTCAGTTCCTTCTGTAGGGGGGTAAGGCTTGGGGCTACAAATGAACCTTCACTCCAGTGAGAAGTCAATTAGAAGTACCTTTCCTGCCCCGAGGGAGAGACTTCTCATTCAATTTAATTTTCAAGTTTTCTTCCCCTTTCCCTGTGATAGAATATAGCCAGAATCCAACTGTGCACTATGATTGACAAACTGAGCCAATTTCACACCTTCCTAAGAAGGAGAGGACTGAGGACAGAATAGAAGATTTTACATTCCCATGTCAGCTTCCTCTCCATCTCTGAGGCAGGAGCTGGGAAGGTGTCGGGGTGCAGTAAAGACCACTGAAAAGCCAGGTGCAGTGGTACATTCCTGTAATCCCAGCAATTCAGGAGGCTGAGGCAGGAAGATCATATGTTCAAAGCCAGCTTCAACAACTTAGGGAGGCCCTAGGAGACCCTGTCTCATAAAAAAATAAAAAGGTCTGGGGTTGTGGCTCAGTGGTTTAGTGCCCCTAGGTTCAATCCACAGTACCAAAGGGGGGGGGGGGGGGAACCCCACCTGCTAGAAAGAGACTGCAATCATTCATGACCTGTTCCCTTCCTTTGAGACCACTGCCCAGTTCCCGTTCCCAGTGGAGGAAGGATGGAGCTGAAAGGAAAGAAAAGCAAGGTTCTGAAGGGACTACTGGACAGACTGGGCTCTGCGTGGGTCATCTGTACTTACTGTGGAGACAGAGTGTTTCCTTTCAGGACCTGATTCTTGTAGTCACAAGGTGTGGAATGGGAATTCATTACTTAATCACTCTTTTCTGCAGATGATCAGGTTTTCCCTTTCGTTCAGGCAAATTCTAAGTGAGCACTTATTGAACATCTGTCAAAATCATCTATTGTCAACTACTGAGAACTCAATTTCTTTCCATCATGCTGTGTGCTCATCCTAAGAGTCAGATGGGAGAGGGAGAATGATCCAGGAAGGATAGAGATGGTTTCTCTTGGGAGAGTGCTAGGAACCTCTTTTTTAAAGTTTTATTCTAAAAATAACCCTGAACCAGGACTTAAAATTTTTTTTTTTTTTAATCAAAGCATCATCAAGTTACCTTATAAGAGTTGAAAAGTTTCACTGTGATGGTCGTCACTTCAATAGGATTACTTACTGCCTTAGAGCCTCATAACTGAACTTCAGCTTCTATTTTTTCTGTTTTCTATGTTTTGTGATTTTGTGAAAGTGACTCAACTTCTTCGTGCCCGGGGTTCTTCCTTTAGTAACTATTAGTTTTAATTTTTGTTTGGTTTTGAAGGCCCTTACCTTGAGTGTATTGTGAGGATTCCCGTTTCTATGAGAAAGTACTTAGAGCAGAGCCTAGAAATGGAAGACAGGCAATCAACATAACTGATACATTTATGGTTTTCAATGTCATCATTATTTGAAGATAGTTGTGGACTGTCACTTAGCCTTGGGCGTTATAAGTGGGCTTTTGGTTCCATTTTAGAATTAAAATCAATTTATGGTTCTCGCTCACCAAATCTGATTTAACTTTAGATCCTTTGACTTCTGGTAATTTAGAAATTCAACTGTTCCCTTTGTGCTTTTTTTAAATTGAAAAATAGAAATTGTCTAAGTTTGTGCAACACAATGTTTTGATACACACATATATTGTAAAAGACCAAATCAAGCTAATTAGCATGTCCTTTACCTCACTTATTTTTTTTAATGGAAAGCACATTTCCCCTTGCCTGCTTATCTCTGGATATGATGCTTGTGTTTGCATTTGAATTGGGAACTGGTGTATATGGAGTCAGTATACCCACTATAATTATTAATGTGAAATTGGCAGAGATGGTTTCCAAAGCCAATTAATTCCTTTAATTAATTCCCATCTAGTATTTTAAATCCTAGATAATACCTAAGTCGTTGTTGGGGTTTGCTGGTCTGATTTTGGTTTATTTTTTCCTTTTCTGTCTCTCCCCCATTTCCTCTAACCCCTCTCTCTTCTCCTTGTTTTCTTACTTCATTGAACCCTGAAGATTGATAATTTCCTATATCATATGCCAGATTTCTCTAGCAGGTGATAAGATAATCTAGAGGGATATCCTTATTTGGCTTCTCAACTTGATCAGCATATGCCCCAGTGACTTTTGTTCTAGTAAT